GGTGTGCAGGAGGCAGCTGATGGATGTTTCTCTCTCATGGATGTTTCTAACTCTCTATCCCTCTCCCTTCCTCTCTGTAAAAAATCAATAAAAAATATTTTAAAAATTTATTTTAAAAAAAAATCTGTCTCCCTATCACCTTCTCTCAGTGACCATGAGCTTTGGTGTCTGAAGAGAGCAGAGCGGACGTCAAAGCAAAACGCGGAAGCCTGGGATGGTGTGGGGGGAGCAGGAGGTCGGGCCGGGCAGGCCAGGCTTCGGGGTGAGAGACCTCTCGCGGGGTGATCGGAGGGCAGCAGCAGCGGGGGAAGCGGGGCTCCGACCTGTGTGTGACAGGCGTGTCTCAGGCTGATGGAGCGCTCACCCAGGCGCTCTTTGTAAGCGGTTTTCAGGACATTCACCATGTTATGCAATCCTCACCGCTATCGGATTTCCATCGCCTCCAAAAGAAACCCTGTGTCCATTAGCAGTCACTCCCCCTTCCGCCCTCGCCAACCCCTGAGATGTTTTCCTTCTCTAGAGACTTGCCTGTCCTGGGCGGGTCCTGTGAGTGACCACACAGTGTGTGTCACACAGGCCTCGGTCTGGCCTCCCTCCCTTCACACAGCGTTTTCAGGGCCCCCCCTGGTCATCGCACGTGTCAGCCCTTCATCCCCTTTGGTCGCTGACTGTCAAACAGGCTTTGGCAAAGTTATGTCCTAACCGGTTTGGCTCAGTGGATGGAGTGTCAGCCTGTGGACTGAAGGGTCCCAGGTTCGATTCCGGTCAAGGGCATGTACCTGGGTTGCGGGCACAATCCCAGCGCGGGGTGTGCAGAAGGCAGCTGATCGATGTTTCTCTCTCATCGATGTTTCTAACTCTCTATCCCTCTCCCTTTCTCTCTGTAAAAAATCAATAAAATAGTCCTAACCGGTTTGGTTCAGTGGATAGAGCGTCGGCCTTTGGACTGAGGGGTCCTGGGTTCAATTTCGGTCAAGGGCATGTACCTTGGTTGCAGGCACATCCCCAGTGGGGAGTGTGCAGGAGGCAGCTGATTGATATTTCTCTCTCATCGATGTTTCTAACTATCTCCCTTCCTCTCTGTAAAAAAATCAATAAAATAAAATTAAAAATCACCTCTTGGGTAAGATGTGAAATTAAAAAAAAAGAAAAGAAATATTTTTATTGATTTTCAGAGAGAAAGGGAGAGGGGGAGAGAGAGAGAGAAACATCAATGATGAGAGAATCGTTGATTGGCTGCCTCCTGCATGCCCCCCACTGGGAATCGAGCCAGCAACCCAGGCATATGCCCTTGACCAGAATCAAACCCTGGACCATTCAGTCCTCAGGCTGATGCGCTAGCCACTGAGCCAAGCCGGTTAGGGCACTGGTGACAATATTAATCGCACACGTTGATTTCACAAACTCTGGTCGTGTACTGCGGAGAAGTCAGAGGTTCCCATAGCCCTGCTCCCAGGGGGCGTCCGGGACAAAGTAGGTGCTCAGTTAAACAGTTACCTAACGGATCGAACAGAAAGAACCGCTCACCGAGTCTGTAGTCTGGGGACCATAGTGAAGGGAGAGGAAAGGAGGGACAAATGGTGATGGACGGAGACTAGACTTGGGGTGGTGAGCACGCAGTACAGTGTAGAGATGATGTGCCGCATGTTAACCAGTGTCACCCCAATGAATTCAACAAAAAGGGAGAAAAAGAGAGAGTGACAGAGGGGTCAAGCCCCACCCCCCAGGCCCCTGCTTGACCTGGCCTGTCTCCAGGGGCCTAGAGGAGGGACACCCCTGACCCCTCCCATCAGAAGCACCGCAGATAAAGGCAGGCGCAAGCTCCGGTGTGTTGGCTGGTTATTAAGCACAGCCATTCTGTAGAATTAAACTACAGTGGGGCTTTGACTTACGAGTTTAATTCGTTCCGAGACCGAGCTCGTTAAGGAGCTTGTTAACTCAAATTACTCTATCAACTCAATGCAAAAAATCGGCCGAGAGACAGGTGGTATCTCAAAAAACTCGTTAGTCGGGACACTCGTGAGTCAAGGCCCCACTGTACATCACTTTACGCTGAATACATTATATCAAAAACAAATTCACGCCCTGGCCCGTTTTGCTCAGTGGATAGAGCGTCGACCTGCCTATTGAAGGGCCCCAGGTTCAATTCCAGTCAAGGGCACATGCCTGGGTTATGGGCTCGATCCCTAGTAGGGGGCGTGCAGGAGGCAGACGATCAATGATTCTTTCTCATCATTGATGTTTCTCTCCCTCTCCCTTCCTCTCTGAAATCAATAAAAATATATGTAAAAAATATACAAATTCATTGCGCCCTGCGTGTTTTACTACAGTTTACTTCTCTCTCTCTCTCTCTCTTTCTCTCTTATTTAGACCTGGGTGGAGGGATCTTCTAGAGCAGTGGTTCTCAACCTTCTGGCCCTTTAAATACAGTTCCTCATGTTGTGATTCAACCATAAAATTATTTTCGTTGCAACTTCATAACTGTAATGTTGCTACTGTGATGAATCGTCATGTCAATATCTGATATGCAGGATGGTCTTAGGCGACCCCTGTGAAAGGGTCGTTCGACCGCTAAGGGGTCGCGGCCCACAGGTTGAGAACTGCTGCTCTAGAAGCAAATGCTGCCTTCAGTGATGTCATGTTGTTTGCTTGAAATTGACCACCGTGGGAGTAGTTACACCACGGAAATTGACAGATGCCACCAACCAGGGATTTTTTCTCCAGACAACAACTGGCTGTGTAGAGTTTGCCCCCTGCCCCCCCGGATCCCAACACCGGAGAGCAGAGGTGAGGAGCACAGTCCTCCATCTGGGAGCGCGGTCCCCAGGGGCATCTGGGGAATCTGTGGGGGCATTTTTTATTTTATTTTTTTAATATATATTTTGTTGATTTTTTACAGAGAGGAAGGGAGAGGGATAGAGAGTTAGAAACATCGATGAGAGAGAAACATCAATCAGCTGCCTCCAGCACACCCCCCACTGGGGATGTGCCTGCAACCAAGGCACATGCCCTTGACCTGAATCGAACCTGGGATCCCTAAGTCCGCAGGCTGACGCTGTATCCACTGAGCCAAACCGGTTAGGGCTGTGGGGGCGGTTTTAGGTGTCACAGTGGTTAGCCACAGAGGGCCAGGACCCAAAGTTACATAATGCAAAGTTGTCCTGCATCCCCATGACTTTTGAATATGTGTGAAATGTTCTTTCTTTAAGTGTTATTATTTATTGATAAGAGAGAGAGAGAGAGAGAGAGGCATTCATTGGTTGATTCTTTTTTTTTAAATATATTTTATTGATTTTTTACAGAGAGGAAGGGAGAGAGACAGAGAGCTAGAAACATCGATGAGAGAGAGACATCGATCAGCTGCCTCCTGCACATCTCCTACTGGAGATGTGCCCGCAACCCAGGCACATGCCCTTGACCGGAACCGAACCTGGGACCCTTCAGTCGCAGGCCGACGCTCTATCCACTGAGCCAAACCGGTTTCGGCGCATTGGTTGATTCTTGTGTGTGCCTGACCAGGGATTGAACCCGCAGCCGTGGCACATGGGGACGATGCTCTAACCCACTGGGCCACACCAGCCAGGGCACCTGTCAGGCGTCCTCACGGGGGAAACCTGCTTATCCAGCTCTGAGCGCAGAACCCGCCTGGCATGGTGTAAGGCTCCCGGCTCTCCCCCGTGTCATCAGAAGCTCGGAGAAACGGGTCACTTGTCCGGCGAGACTGTCCCACATTCTGGACTTGGCCGATGGCGTCCTCACGGTGTCGGTTCACCGGCAACTTTATCCTCCTGTTTTCTGAAAACTGCCAGGACAGGAGAGGCTCCATGGGATTCGGGATCTTTTGGGGGGGGCAGGGGGGCGGGGCGAGGTTGGTGGATGACGCAGGGGGACTCCTGTTGCCTGGACCAGGGGCCAGAGGAGCTGCTTAGGTTAAGATTGTTAGGGGCGGCCCTAGTCGGTCTGGCTCAGTGGATAGAGCGTCAGCCCGTGGACTGAAGGGTCCCGGGTTCGATTGTGGTCAAGGGCATGTCCCTCGGTTGCGGGCTCGATCCCCGATCCACGATCCACGGGTGGGAGGCAAGCCAGTCGGTGTGTCTCTGCCTCCCCCCGCCCTTGCACTCTCTCTAAAAATCAATGGGAAAATGCCCTCGGGTGAGAATTAACCGACAAATTAAATTAAATTTTTAAAAAAAGATTGTTAGGGGCGCCCTGGCCGTGTAGCTCAGTTAGTTAGAGCGTCGCCCGGATACGCCAGGGTTGCAGGTTCAGTCCCGGTCAGGACACATATAAGAATCAAGCAATGGATGCATGAATACGTGGGACAATAAACTAATACTCCTGTCTCTTCTCCTTTCTCTCTCTCAAATCAATTAATCAAAAGAGGCAAAGATTGCTGGGGCTCTGGCGGGGCCCACCGCATGCCCCCCCCCCGCCCCCCAGTAAAATCCGGCACCTGATTTGGGCGGCAGTAGACACGCATTGCCCAGACCCCTGATGTACCATTCGGGGGTGCAAAATGGTGCTTTCCTACGAGGATCTTTGTCGGAATAAGGGAAACCGAGACACGTTGCTGTCTGCCAGGTGTTTTTTCCCACGATTCAGGCCTGCCTGGTTTCAAATTCCCGCTCCTGTGACTTCCTAGCTGTGTGACCGGGGGGCAAGTTCCTTCCCCTCTCTGTGCCTCGGTTCCCACCTCTGCACCACAGAGCTACGGAGGGTGTCTGCCCCCCAGAGTGGCTGCGAAGTCGGAATGAGGTTGCTGGACCAGCTAAGTGCTAACAGTTGTTTGCCAAAATATTAGAAAGACAGGACCCTGAGAGGGCTGAGGCTCAGGGAGAACCTGGCCCAGTGGACTCCGCCCCCTCCTCCAGGCTGCCCTCCAGGCCTGCGTCTCAGCGGGCAAGGCGGGGAGGGAGGCCGGGCTCACCTGGCTGCCACAGCCCAGTCACCCCGCCTCCCTTCAGCTCGGGGGAGGCCAGGTGGATCTGGGCGGAGTTTGTCCGCGGCCGGCAAGAAGGAGGGTTCTGAGGGGAGAGTTGACCCCAAGGGGAGTGAGCCGGCTGAACGACCCTCAAGACACCTGTCATCCACTCCCAGCTCCGGCCCCAGAACCAGGTGAGGGGGGGCGGGGTGCCGGAGGCGCAGCTGGAGCTCCTGCACCCACAGGGCAGGGCGCTGGGAACGGACTCGAACGCGGGATTTGGCGACCGGAGACTCAGTGGTCCCCTCCCTGATCTCCAGTCCCTTCTGGGGGGACGAGGGGGGGCGTGCCCACCTCGGGGAGGGGCGGGCAGGGGCCTCCTGAGCAAACGGAGGGTCCATCCCTTGCCGCCAGGCTCCCACCTGTCCTGCCCCCAGCACCCCACTGCCTGACCTCCAGGCCGCCCCTCCTTCCCTGCGGACCTATTCCCTGAGCACCCATCCCCTCTGTCACTCCCCCACCCAGGCCACCTGCTCCCCCTAACCCCCTCCGGCCACCAGTTCCTGCCGCCAACTGGGGAACGGAGGTGCAGATGGGAAGGCTGGGGCCGGGCGGTAGGAACCAGTTTCCTGTTCCCTCTTAGGGTCTGCCCCACTCCTCCCTGTCCCCCTCCTCCGGGAGGTTAGCAGGAACCCCCTGGACACCCCTCCCCTCGGGACCCACTTCTCAGGGACCTCAGGCTGCCACCCCCACCGGGAAGCCCGCCATGGCTCAGAGGCGCCGTGGCTCCCTCATCCCACCCGAGTCACCCCTCTGCTCCAGGCCAGAGTCCAGTCGG